GGCCGGCAGTGGCCACGTAGAGGTTATCCGTGGGGCTGGAATGACTCAAATCACCGAGTTGCACCAGGGCGGGTGCGGAGACTTAGTGGGAAACACATTGGCTGAAGAAAACCCGCAGTTGTCCCTGGGAGAGATGTATGGGCTCTTCCATCATGCCAAGCACTGTCCAAAGCTTTTCATAAAAAGTTAATTCCTACTAATTTAGACCCTCATTAAATCGAGTCTGGTATTAAAAGATCGTATTATTGCCTGGAAGAGTTTAGGTCTAAACCAAAGGTATGTGAGGATTGTGATCAGACTGCTCTTTTAATACTTTTATTTTCCCCTTCCATTAGCTGCAATGAAAACAATCAAGTGAAGCTGTAGAACAAGCAATCAGATTTTAACAGTTCTCTAATAAATCCTTACCTACTCAATTTATTTCTTAAGGCATTTCATATAGACTTAGCCACTCTTAACAAATCGTAACATGCTGCCAGACCTTTAACAACATGAAACAACACCTCACTAGTAGAAGACGACTGTCGATACGGTGGTATATCAGGAATATCGGATGAGTCCTGCTACACTCAGAGGACTGCCTCTGCTGTTATGAAACATTTTCTCCCAACAGCATGTTAGGATGACAATGGGACTGAAACATCTTGTATGTCTTAAGGAACCAGTAGGGTGCAATTCTGTTATGCATAATTCATGGTTCTTTATCCCTTTCATGTTCCCCAAAACTGACAGCGAACCTAATCCTGCTCCCATGTGGTAGATAATGGAAAGGCTCCAACGGTGCTTCATTTGTGAGCAGATGTGCCTATATTTTAGGTGCCCATTTCATGGGGGGAAACTGAGGGAAGGTGGCCAATCCAATCATCCTAATAGAAGCAGAAAGTCAAATAGAGGACATCGAGCAAATGAAGATGGGGGGAGCTCTGAAGATGTCTTCTGTTCATCCAGTCAACGTGTCTGCCTCTTTCCAGTTACATTACAAGGAACTGGCAGAAAGCATCAATAGGATCCCAGCTACTTGGCTCTATTCTGAGTGCAGGTACCTTTTAAGATAAAAGGAGGTGGTCAATACCCTGACCTTTGCCACAACCCCTTGGTGAAGCCTTTCCTTTCTTGGTGCCCTCAGGCCCTCGTTCTCTCTTAGACTTGGGGAGCTAGAACCCATAATTGCTTCCCTGTGAGGGCGTGCAGTGGCCGTTTTAAGGTGATGGAGGAGGAAGGGAGGGAGGGATAGATTATATTCCACCCAGAAGGCAGACAAAAGGTGTTTTGACAGTATCTGAGCAGTCAAGAAAGGGCACCGTTTCCAACACTGTTCCTCTTTCTGTACCCAGCTTTACCCATATAAATTTTCTCATATAAAATTCATACGTCTTCCCAAGATCTGGGTCTGCAGCAAGAGTCATTGGTGTCTTTCTGGCCCTATGCCTCCCTGGCTGCACAGGTCCAACTTTGACACAAGAGTGGAACAGGCTTTGGCCTAAAGCACTCCACAGCTGTTTGGCTGATGTGCTCCCTGGCTTGATACAAACTATAAGTTTAAACTTCCTCAAGCTGACCAGGGCACAGAACTGAGGTTTTCTCAGCATTTTTTATTTTTTCTTTTAAAAAGAGTACATACTGCTGTGACGCATAAGATGAAATTTCTGTTTCTGCAGCAGAGGTACTTGTTGCTTAGAGAACTCTCAAGCAAAACAGCATGGGGCCTCATAAATTAGACAGTGATGAAAACAGGCAAGTGAATTCCACCACCAATGGCTTTGATATATATCAAGAAGAACTGTGTGTAACTCCTGTCATACGCTCATGGTACGTTTCTGTCCCTCCCTGTGCAAAGCATGGGATGCTGCCATCTTTGTTCTAAAGCCAAGAATATTTTTGTAGCAGAAGGGACAAGTCTTTTTCTCAGGTCAGAAAACAGACAGGGAATATTACTGTGGGATTCCAAACAGAGGCCTAGCTCTATCAATTATCAGATATTTATTTTAATCCACAGTTTTTGGAGCAGATCACTGGATCTTCACTTTCTGGAGAACATTCTAGTACATTGGCTAATCTGTATTCTAAGGATTTGGGATAATTTAAACCATCAGGTGATTTCTATATGAAGGCCTACAGCAAATCATGTTTACTGCATAAAAGGACATACTGATGTATAAGTGTGATGACCTAGGTAATTACAAATCTGTCAGCCTGACTGAGATCCTGATAAAATAATGTAACAGTTGATATGAGACTCAATTAATACAAATTAAAAGGAAAATAATATCATTAATGCTAATCAACCTGGAAAATCTTATCATGCTAACTTGGAAATCTGGTTGACAAACAGAATAGCATCAAATTACAGCTTTCATAAAGCATTTGACTTGGTACCACACAATTTAAATCATATGAGATGAAAGTCATGCATACTAAATATTTTCAAAACTCGTTAAATGACAAGTTTAAAAATGTTTAATAAAAAGGGAAACATTATTAAATGGTTTCTTTGCAAGAGAGCCCCACTTAGGCTAATTTTTGCTTCTACATTGATTTGCATTTCCAACAATGACCTGGGAAAAATGTAGTCATTACTCATGACATTTGCAGATGACAAAAGCCTTGGGGGATTTATAGTAATGGTGTTATATGGAGATAGACGTGTAGACACCGGGTGGAACTGTAAAGCTGAGCCCTGGCATAGCTTATGCTTTAAAATAGCCAATGGCAGCACTACCCAGTGCCTGTGGCATCCATCTCACCTCATTTTAGTCTTCTGAAAGTGCCTGGTGTAAGCCAGCCACATAGGTTCTCATTGTTCATGGAGAGAATTGGATACCCATCAGAGGGCACTCTAGCCCAGCAGTTTTAGGCAGTTGTGCTGGGATGAGATAAATTGTTTTCTGGAAGGTCCAGTTTCTCTCCACTGACTGGAGAGAGCATAGGGAACAAATACATTTATAGTTACTGGATAAAGTAGTTAATCCTAGAAAGCACTGATGCAGAAGAAATTATGGGGGTGGATTATCAAGGAAGTCAATGGGCTGTAGCCTTCTCTGTTATCATTTGTTGGCTGGGAGGTGCTCCAGTGTCATACAGTTTGTCCATGGAGCACAGATTTGCTGTGTCCACCCCTTAGAACACTGGAAATACGGTGATTAAGTAGCAAAACCCAAGATCTTTGTGCATTATCACTGGGATCCTTGGATATTTATTTATAGAGGGGAATATCAATTAGAGTAGGGGCATTATGCTTTCTTCTGTTATTATTAGACTGCTGCATCAAGTTCCTGTGAATATAGTCTAAAAAAGGACCGTGATAAAGTGCAAAACACTGAGAGGAAAACCACAGGATTGGTTAGAGGTTGAGAGACATGCCATTCAGGTAAAGCTTAAAAATCATGAGTCATTTAGCTTGTCAAGGAGAAACTCAGAGGGGTCACAGCTACCTCCCGGAGGCAGGATATTGATTCTAGAAGGCTATTCTGTCTAGTGGACAATGACATATCAAGGTGAAAGCTGGAGTTGGACAAATTAAGATTAGAAATAAAAGGCATACTTTTCAGTGTGGAAAGCCATGGAAGTATCAAAGTCGTATGTTCTTTATCACTGAGAATTTGAAACGCAAGATTTGATGTTTCCTTAAAACCAGTCAAGTGGTTTCAAGCTGTACTTAGAAACTTGTGGGGTCTATTGATCACTTCTAAAATGTCTGTAAAGGTGACAGAGAAAAGCATGTTCATATGTACCCTACCACAAGCCACAGATGAAATTTCTAAGTGGTTCTGCAGTTTATTGGAAAATAACAATCAAAAAAAAGTACCTCCAAGGATTAATTCAGTGCAGCACTGTGATTTCTGTTACACAGGAGGACAGGCAAGTGATGGCAACGACCCCATCCCCCAGTTGATAATATGTGGATGATTTGAGAATGAGCAGAGGTGCATAGATTAGGATGGAGAAACATCTCAGAATTGCTAAAATGAGCGTCTTAAGTAAATGAATGTAACCATGATGGCAGACCAAAAGAATGCAAGGAAAAGGTAGACCAAAGCCATTATGTGTCTGGAAGTAGAAAACAGGGGCAGACTTGTGTGTTGCTAAGATAATCACCATACCCCACAGGCACCAAGCCACCAAGAAGAAAAGTGCAGCACAGTGATCCATGGCCCAGATTTACTATCTGAGCTACAGGCAGCAGTTGAACAACTTACAGAGAAAATCCCCAATGAAACTGATCACTTTAGGTATTGAGATTATCAGACACAAGCCCA